AGGCCTTAGCTAGGGGATGTATATTTTACGTTGCGTCTATAGGTCGTTGATAGGCTTTGGCTAGCGGATGCTAGGGTATTCCTCCGATAAATCTCAGTGCAGAAAGATTACAGTTCAACCACGCACCGACATAGACACGACAAGTTTGCCCAAACTTCAATGAAAAAATTGGCCCCGTATTTACATGTTCCAATGCAAATTTCGTCGAAAGACGATAGTCTTGCGTCTGGAGAGAGTGAACGAAACGTTTATTTGATGTTGTGCACAAGAAAATCGGTTAGTGGTAGACTGGAGGCGATGAGTTACAGTGCCTCGAGCGTGTAGCGGCGGTGAACGAGCACATGAAGTCACGTCGCACGTGAGACATGAACGCTATCTGGCAGTCATCTTGGAAAACGAAACGCGCGCGCTCTGCGCGCCTGTCTCGGAGGGGATGAGGTGTAGAACGCAAGGCTACGGGTAGGTGCCACCACCGTGTAGTCTTAGCAAAGCGTTGGAAACACTTGCCTTTTCGTGAAAGCGTTGTCTGGTCAGCGCAACGTGATAAACGCTATGGTCATTATAATTACTTATGTATGCCGTTTATAGTAAGAGAGATGCATACATAGTATTGACATGTTGTTATGGTGCCTCAGATATGCGCAGTTTTGCTTTTTATTTGACATACGCACGAGTACTAACGGTAAATATTGAGCAATATTGGTGGGCGCTGCGGATGGGGTCAGCCGTTTGGAGTATCGTTTGGCCACTTTGGTGCCGTTAAGGGCCAAACCTCATAAGCGCGAAAATGCACGCGACAGCGACGAGCGACGCGACGTAGATAGTCGTCGCGCGATCAGTCGCTAGCGCAGGCAAACCTCATTCACGCGACGCCTTTGGCGAGCGAATTCCTCTGTTGCTGGCATGAGGCCGTCTACTCGCACCAAGAAAACCACGTAGCGAGCGGCATGCAATTTAAAAATTACATATATTGTTGTGTAATGGAACGGAAAGTGTTTATTATTGCCTTGCAGCACTTTTTTATATGCACATGCGTAATAAACATTGCGTTATTTCTTGTTGCGCATACGTGACTCGGGCAGGGTCACGTGCACCTATGTAGTCTTTGTCTTTTCCGGTTTTTTGCTATTGGCTGCTTGAGCCCAGCACTTCCGGGCGATGAGCGACGGTTTCCAAAGCTGGAGAACTGAGCGATCGCGCGAAAACGAGTACGTGACACGTCGCGCGAACGCCCTGTTTCGTCGCTCATAGCGTCGCTCATCGCTGTCGCGTGAATTTTCGCGCTTATGAGGTTTGCTCCTAAAGGTACCGCTAAGAGTGGACAAACAGACAAACGTACAGACAGACATAACAAAATTTTTTTGTTGTAGGTGCCCAAAGAAGACTATCATCTTGAAAAAACGCACTCTGAAACCAAGCTGTCACATCTCCCAAATATCTAAATGCACGATGTCGTTGGCTTAGGCCTTTCATCACATCCGAGTCTTGCCGCAGTCGCCGTTGCCTTTCGCCTTCTCTAGTATCCTCTCGTTGTAAGCATTCGCGGGCTACGCCTCGCGGCCATAGCTTCAGAGCCATTTGCAGTGCTAATTGTCACTTTCTTCGTAATTAGTGGACCAGTTGTGAGCACCGGCATATATGCCCTTTATGTGGCACTTACCTATTTACCATCATGACAGTTTCTATAATCAACATTTTCCTCACAATCACCCGCTTATGATCATTTATTTATGCGAGTGACTTACAAGAAATTATTCGCTGAAACGCTTCGCGGTTAACTAAGCACGAACTTAGATCAATTCTGGTGTGTTTCCAGTTTCACAAAGAAACTTTGGAAGGTGAGAGATAAAGAAAAGGCATTTAAACTTTTTTGGTTATTATAATTATCACCGTTTTTGTTTTGTGTTCGAAAATTACGATCGGATAATGCAGATGCCATAGTGGAAAACTACAAAAGTTTTCACCTCCTACGGCTCCTTAACGTGCAAATGGACAAGTAGGCACGCGATCATCAATGGCATTTCACCTGTATCTAAATGTGCTCGCCACGACGGGGAATCGATCCGGTGTCGTTCCCGTCAGCAGTCGAGCACAATATACACTAGGTCACTGTGGCACCTTACAATGCTTGCTGCGAGAAAGTGTCTTGTGACAGACAGTTAGGAGGAGACAAAGATTGTAAACATGTTTGTTGTTTCAAGAAAGCTTATTTTGAAAATAAAAAAGAGACTTCGGTCATGGTTTTAAGCAAAATTTTGTTTCTTAAACCAGTTATGCCTGTCAAAGCTCAGTTTTAATATTATGTGCCCTCAATCACTTTGTTCGCAACGAATAATTCAGAAGATATATAGCACGGCCCAAAGTAAGCTTGGCTGTGTTGTTCAATTCAGTACCTTGCTGGTTGTTATCTGCCAGGAGTGCGCGGAAGTCTGTAGTTTTAATTTTTGAGATGCAGCAAATGTTCGCTCTGGTGGTTTTCTTTCAACAAAAATGTATCTTCAGACATTTTTAATCTATTATGTGTGTGGTTAGGCTGTTGCCGTCCTATAAAAAGCTAACGGGCACGTAGTTTTGAGCCTACAACCTAACATTTTTTACTTAAGAGCAGGCGAGGCTCTGTGAGCCTGTGTTTTACCTCAATTTGGCTGACGACCTCTTCTAGGTACAGGGCAGGATACATTTTTTTTGTCGTCACTTCATGAAACAACAAATCATACATATTCTCGTCAAGAAGTGAAAGTGAGAGTTTCTCTTCATGGGCAGTCCTAGCATTCGTCTAACAAAGCAAGGGTTTTCGGGAAGCCGCCAAGGCGTAAGGCTGTGTATTCCGACCAACAAATTTCTATAATGGCGAAACTGCATTGAGCGCAAGCGCAAGACTTCTGGGGTGTAATCATCGAAGATCTAGCAAATGGGCTTTGAGACTTCCAAAGAGTTATGGCGGTTCTGGGGTGAGCTGTTCTTTCCACTAGAACTTCCCCGCGAGAAGGTGCACATGTTGGTTAGAATAAAAGACGTGGAGAAACGCATTGAGACCCCTTTAAAGACGTACATACTCCTTCTGGCCTTTCATATGACTGACAAAACGTACTGCTTAATTGGGTGCCCTACCAAGAGCATCCAGTTACAAGTTCGTCATTGGACATGTAGTTTATCCCAACTTGTACTCCTCATAAGTTCAGGTTTCACCTTCGGTACAGCATAGGATATCTTGTAAATGCTTTAGGAAGAAGTCTTGTGCTAGTGTTTATGGAGCCGACGCATGCATGGCGCTTCAGGCACCATCGAATTGATTGGTAGTAGTAAAAGATGAATTTGTCTAAGCTTAATTCTTGCGACTCTGGCTCTGATTGGCCTGAATTGGCATTGCCGTCGGGAGAATTTTAGCAAAGTTGTAGTAGTTACGCATCACCACCTTGGCTTTTCAGGCTCACCAATTTCAATTGGCTCACAAAGTTCACAAGGATCCATTTTTTTATTTGAAACAAAATGAAAACACGACAATAAACAAAGCCACAAGTGCTCTCAAAACCCGCAAGCACGAACGGAAATCTGTGTAGCTACTGTAAAAAATATTCTGTGGTGGAAGGGAAATTCTCGCCCTCTAGCGTCTCCCATATTCGTAGCAATTTTAACTCCGGACCTCTGGAGCAAAGTTTTTTCTCCAGCTAGCTGGGGGATTCGCGTGGCGCCTCCGGAGTAATTTTTGCTGCCAGTTCATTTCCTCTGGCCGTAAGGACTGCGTGGCACTTCCGGATTATTTTTAACGAGTTTTTCACTGTGACTTTATGGAGTTTTTCACTGTGGCAGCTCTGGATTATTTTACCAATGTACTTACTTCTTCCGTACAAAATTTCATTGAAGTAGATGAGTATATTTTAAATGTTCACTCGGCTGCCTATTTATTGTTTGCCGATCGTTTCAGCATTGTTTAGAGAGTGAATTCCCAATTCTCATGCAAGCACTACAGAGATACTGCGCATTTTTTACATAGCTCTAGCAGATGAAATTCAAGAAAACACTTGAGCTCTTATTGTTTGATTTATCCGAAACAAACTACAGCGTCTGGTTGATGACCCAGCCTTTTAGAAAGGAAGGCAAGAAACAAACATGTAAAAAGTTTCCCTAAAACATAAACAAAAAAGACAGATTCGATGAAATCAACGGCACACTTGTTTTAGGCGCAACGCTTAGAGATGAAGTCAAGAATACTGCAGAAAGATGACCGACAAACGAAGAAAGCGCGGCCACCGGGAACAACTCTTTATAATCTCCCAAAGACCATCCGTCAGATTTATTGACTGCGCAAGGTTTCATCTGATTGCTTCCTGTATAACTTAACAAACAAAACTTGAAGTACTTGAGAACTGCCAATCATGCGAATTTGGCAGAATATTGGAACGTAGGCTACGCTAGAGCTGGCTATCCTAATATCATGGCAGTTGTGTACAAGATAAACACACAAACAAGAAAAACTAGGAATAGGAAAAAAAATGCTCAAGAACAGTCTCCTCTTTCTAGATTACGGGAAGGAAGGAAATAAGATAAAAATGCTCAACAACGGTCCTCTCTTTGTAGCTTACGGGAAGGAAGCGCTATTATTTGCTGTAGGCGAAGAATAATATCAATACTATTCAGCACAAAACTTCAGTGCGTCTGAAGGCACGGGCCGCTAGCATAAAGCTGCGTAGGCCGCCTCTTTGACAACCCTGTTGTGGGCACACAAGGCGCAGATTTCTCACAGCTTTTTATATGTGTAGGCTGGGTACACGTCCACAGAAATCCATCTTGTTTTCTTCGCACCCTCTACATGCGTTCGTGAACAAGCGACATACGTAACATTGGACGCTGTCGGCTGATGCATATGGAACGTGATTACGTTCAGTGGCTCGAAAAAGCATCAGTGCGTATGTTGTTGTGGCTTTGCGCGGTTTTAACAGTCTGGAATGCGCCACGCTTAAAAATACCGCCCTGTGCGAGTTTCGGCATTACTTCGAATGACGCAGCCAAACTCGTCGAGTGATGTCACTTGCGTGAAAGCAACCTTTAAGAGAGGTGTAGGCTTCGCCCGCAGACCTGCTCGGCGAGCGCTTTCGTATCGTTGCACTCTGCTGTGCTTCAGGAGGACGCACCACTAGGATGAAAATGGGCAAAGCAACGGTGTTTTTCTTCGTGACCACTTACATGGGTAAGTGGGGCACCGCTCATTGTTTCACGTCGCAACAATATGCTCACTTAACATTCTGTGCATAATATATCATATATGCACTTTGCTTTTGTCGCATTCACTTCTATTACAACTAGCTGCTGGCATTAGCGCAAGACAAAGGTCTAAAATATGCACCAAAAACACTCTTTGTGCAGGACCGCGAGCCCCGTAAACATACGCTCTACGTACACTTTTCAGAAATTTTGCCCGATCAGCGCGTAAAGTTTTCGTGACATTTTGCTACAACATATAAAACAACCGCCAGGCCTGCGTGCAACGTGCAGCACAGTCACAGCAAACGCTGGGAATGTGAATTTTCTAGAGCCATTTTTTCAATACTGCTGTGGCAACTACAATATACTCCTGCCATATTCCAATACATGCGGAGCACTTTGTGAGTCCAGGCTGTTGTATGCTATTGTATGCTGTCATCGCCTGGTGTAACATAGACAAAATAACGTTTAGCACAACCATTTGTATAGTATAATAAGCACGTGCTAACGCCAAGGATTTAATCTTTTGCTTCGAATGCCTCGATGGAGAAATAAAGGGCAGAGCACTCTAAGGCTCGAGCTGTCGTGTCCTGTCTTGCGTCGGCGTCGCTTGGCGCAACGCAGGCCCCGCCACGAATAAAATATAAAAGAATTAAGAGACAAATATAAAAAAACGAAAAAGAAAGAGAAAAAAATGAACAAGAAACAGAAAAATCAGAAGTAAAAAAAAAAAACTAGGAACGAGAGCATAGGAAAGAACGTTAAACCGCAGAGAGAAAAAAAAAACAAGGCTTTCCAGCTCTGTAGTGCCGGAAGCCTCGCCACCAGTGCGGTACTGCCGTTATTTTCTTTTCCGGATTTGTTCAAAGCATGCGCAATGACCGCGATCGGCGTTTCCTGCGTGGTGGCTGCTAATTAGGCTATGACATGGAGCTAAGTAATCGTTAAATTGCCGGACAATATAAGCGACTAAATCCTTCTTTCATTCCCGTCAACTGTTAGCATTTGTCGTGGTGAATGGCTGGAGCCGATGGCAGTTAAGTATAGGGAGGCGCGGCTATCTAAAAAAAAAAAAAAGATCAGTTGCTTTGCTCAGCTGTGTCAGGATATATGTAGCGGGAACTACATACGGACTGAAGGACAGTCACCTGGACGTACAGATGGACAGACGAATGTACGGACAGAGTAGCGAGCGAAATCACGCGAGTCAAGTGCCAGCCCAATAGTGACACACCACTCCGAGAGCGTCTGAGCCTTCTCTGACGCGCCTGCTTTGCACCGTGTGACGTCACTGCCCCTCAGCATGCGGAGCCCACCTCTCAATAAGCCACGCGAAGCTGCTCAACCACGGCCAGTATTGCCTATGCTAAAGAAAAACTAAAATGGTTGGTTGCAGAGTACAACCTAAACGTCGCGCTTTGCAGTAAGCAGTAGGATTTATCATTTTTACTTACACTCAATTAATGCCCTAAGGGAAGATTCATTCTCTTCTGTTGTATCTAAGTGTACTGTTTAGTGGAGTTGTGTTTTATACAACGTTTAATTAAACGAAATGGCTCACAATGATTAGTCGTGATGCACTAAAAGTGGCCAACTCATATTTTTAGGAACTTTTTTTTTGCGTAATGTTTTGTTTTGCTTTTTGCTGTTTTGCGTTTTGTTTGCTTTTTTTCAAATCTTCATATATATCCTAGCCTGTTTAATTATAATTTTACATGGCGGGCTGATTTCTATGCTTACGAACAGCTAATAGTGTTTTGCTTTGGCGACAGGACATTTCGTTCGAACAAAATAAGAGGATGCGATAAAAAAAAGTTGCTATTGGTAACCATGGCTGTTCAATGTCAGATTCACTTACATTCCTCGATTGTTGTTACGTATTTTTATTCTGTTATTTACGATATTTTATTCACGTTTTAGGCAACAAAACTCATGTATGTTTAATTTTTTCGGGAATGCAATCTTTCGAAAGCGCGAGCGTTTTGGCGAACACCAATGGTTCTCCTCCTACGCCTGCCTTGGATGAAGCAGGACAGGCTCCGAAATACCTGTATAGAGCCGGCGAATACCGTTGCAGCAGTGAATCTAACATGGCGGTTTGGTGTCATTTGGAATCGTCTTGTAAGGCATAAGTGGACGCTGGACTTGCCGTATTATTACACCCTTTGGGTTCAACAGCTGCTAGTAACGGCCCGTATCTCTTTTAAAGATACTTAGTTATCTCTAAGGAAATAAATTCAGCTGTTTTGATCTTGTATGCCATCATTAGTGAAAACAAATCGTCAACAATAAATACTACTAAAATTAGAAATAAATTTAACTGTGGTCTTATGTCTGCTGATGGGCTCTTCATTAATATCAGCAGCACCAATATTATGTAATATCACCCCAGAAATATAGTCAATGAAGCCAACTCCTGTATTAGCATCTGATTTATAACCTTGCTTTGAAGTTAAATTGTTTCTAGTCACGAAATGAGGTACGCAATGGTTTACTGAGCTGAACCATTACAACAACAAAAAAAGAATCTGCCTGCACGGGAAGCGAGGAAAGAACAGCAGACACTGCGGAATTGAATAGCTTGTTCTTTATTTTATTAAACCTTATTAAAGTTACATATAAGACCACATCATGAGGATTGTGAAGGGAAACACAAAAATGCAAACGAAAAAGAGAAAGGCAACCATTGCGCCGAGCGTATTATTGTAACAGTGCTCTGTCAAGATAATCAATTTCTACAATGAACAGCTTTTTTTTTAAATGTTTATTGAACATATTTATCAAAAGTATTTCTGTCAAATTCACAAGAAAATTACACTCTAGTTAGGAACCAAACTAGTTTAGCTATGGTATAGACCATTTGCCGCAGCTAGTTTGTCTATGCAAAACTAGAAGGCGCCACCGCACCGAAGCGCCACGGCCTTCTCTTCATCGGAGTGACCGCGATGTGGCGTGTGGCGGATGTTGCCCCGCAGCCTATGGTGAGAAACGGTGGTTGCAATGACTCTTGAAGAAGAAAAAGTGCACGTAATTTTGGTCAGCCAGAAGACAGTATGGTCTAGTGCCTAAGAGGAAAAAAAAAGAATAGAAACGGGTGGCGCAGACTATGTGCTGCGCCAGCTTTGCTGGCCTTCAACCCGGGAGCGGCGGCAGCGAATCAGCCGGACATCGGCGACGGTGAATAAGGGGAAAAGAGAATGCCTTATATTACGTGTTTCAACGTGTCGTCGCCCGTTTGCCACTGCGGAAAAACGTCTATAGTGATGCTGACAATATTCTGTATATTTTGGGCGAATTGAGGGAGAGTGACATTGTTTTATTACCATTTATTTTACTGTTTACGGATTTGCGCCACGTGTTCGTGTAACCTTTTGGAGGAAATCTTGTGTGTCCCTTCTCGGCAATGTTCCTGCAGTCCCGCAGACGAGAACATAAAACATCTACTTCTTTAGTTTCTGCAATACAGCACTGCGAGGCGCAACTTAGAAGCAGTGGTATACTTAGACCATCGGTCATTTAGGGGACCCCTTCCCTTCCACGTTTGTAAAAATAAGTAATAAAGTATCGCCCGCTAGTAATACTAAAAATACATAGAAGAACGCAACCATTATTTGAAGAAATTGCGAAATTGCAAATATATTCGGCTGATAACAAACATTCTAGGTGTTAATACTGTCAGAACGCCGTATCTTTTGAAGCCTCAAATGCCTGTTGCGCGTATCTCATGTTCATCCTATTGTTTGTTTGCTGGCTTTGTTATGGTGGTGTGTTAAGCGGTTGTGTACATATCCCCCGACATTTCAGTGCGATTTTACTTATTTCCAAGGCTGCATGTGCTCTTCAGCGTCGGTTTACGCTCTTGAGTGTCATTTACTCTGGTGTATGGTACAAACAAAATATTTGTCTCTAAAATAGGACAATATCATCCGCTTCCTGATAATATTCTGAAAGTATAACTGAGAAACAATGACGTTATTCCAGTAAAATCACAAGGGGCGACACAAATCAGATCAAGACAGCCATTTTGTTTTTTGTGTCTTGTTTTACATGAAAAGTAAATCTTGCTTTCAAATAGGAGTTTTAAAAATGACCATGAGCTCCGAGCTTGAGAAATTGCTCTGTTTAGTCTTCTTCAAATCGGTCGAGAGGCTTTTGTGATTTTCATTGCATCACACAGCTGAGGGTTACTGAACATGAGCACACCCTGAAAAACCACAAGTTTTTGTTTAATAGAATGCGCTTCACTTACCAATGAAGAATTTCAGTGTATTATGTTCTTAAGCTAAACACGACAAAGAGAGAAGAGTTGGGACCACAGAAAAAATCAACCAGTTCTGCAGAACATACAAACGAAAATATTGTAAGAGCACCTAATAACATATAGTTTTCGCATGTATGTAATTCGCACTTGTTTTCCTTTGCATCCCAGGAATGTGCCATTCCCAGCTGAAGCCCGGCTGCGAAAAGGCTGAGCTTCACGCCTGCGGTGAGGATTACATGGTGTACAGCAACAGCACAACAATGCCAGAGCCCGACGAGCCTGAGTTTGAGGCGATGTGCGAGTGAGTTTTTTTTTGTTTTTTTTTTTCGCATGACACTTCATTCAACCATGAGCTTCACGTTCGTTGAGCCCGCGATAACCAAAATAATAAAATGTGCAGGACATGATGCTATTATTGTTCTTATACTAATTGCGCTGTCACGAATAAAGATAAGTTTTAACTATATAGTGGCCCTAATTATCATGTGGTGATCCTTTAACATAAGCAGTAGCTTTTTTTAATTGTATTCTATTCTTCAATTCATTCATGTTCAGTAACTTAACATCGCGCGCAGCTTAGTGGCTAGGGGACTTATCTATATTGCTCCATATTTATTTTGTTTTTTTTTTCTTCTGAGCGGGTTCGGACAATCTGGTAACTCCGGAGGAAAACAAATAAAACCAACTTATGTCACTCGAAACACGGTAACCACGTTACATTAGCGCAAGTTTTCAACATTTGCATACATACAAATTCAGAGAGCATTACCATTTAATTAGGCGCTGCTTATAGGGGTTGTATTTTCTTTTTTAGAATATGCTGATATTTTATAAAGCTTTTGTAATCAAAAGGTCCTATCATTTTCGCATATATCTCCATGAGGACGCGGAAATGTTTTGCTGCCACTGAAATAACATTGTTGCAACTAAATATAATAAAACTAGTTAATTATCTTCTAAAGGACTAACTAGATGGCAGTTCTTTATATTAGTGTCTTTGCATGACAATCAACGCCATAGCCAATTTTCAAGTGCGGAGCACTTGAGAGGACAGGCTGTCATATGCTGTCGTCGTCCCTTGGTGTAATGCAGGCAAAACCACATATAACATAGCCATCTATAGCGCTCGCTCGGGCCAAAAGAGAAGTATTCTGCCTCTTTTTGGTGAATGTGTTTATGATGATTTTAACGCATAATTATAATGCATTATAGCCATTAGTAGCATGTTACACGTGTGCTCACTCCAAAGGTAAGCCCGTCTTCCTCTTCTTCTTAAAGTGTCTTGATATTGATGTTAAGAGCGGAGCACTTAATGTAACAAAAACCTATAAAAAAGCTAGGAGAAACACGGAAGTCAGTGCGAAATTTAAAAATGAGAGAAAGAGGAAAAATCGATAGAAAAATTTTAAATATAAAAAGAAAAGATAGAGAAAAATTGGAAAGTACAAATACGAGATAACAGAAGAAAGTTAGGAGAAAACCGAACAGAAACAAAGAAGGAAGCGCTGCTCAGCGCTTCCTTTAGACTTGACATCCCTATAGTAGGAAGCTTCGCATATGCGCATACTTTTGTGAATTACTAAAGCTCCACCTATTTTTGGAAATTCAGAAGAGAGTTTTTATGGCGTCATGAAAACAGATCTCTGTCTGCACACAGGAAACATAACCACACGCTATTACGTCCCATTGGATATGTTTTTTGAAAAGGAAGCGATGAAATATGAGTGAGGACGCCCCTGCACTCTTCCTAATAGCCCTTTCCGACTAGTCCACCCGCTGCCATTTGAAATGTGACGCGAGTGCCGCAAGCAACGACAGGGTCATCACACAACCCCATTGTAAACAACTCTGCCTGGCCCTCTTTGATCGAAGAGGTCTTTGTGCCAAAGAAAATTGTTCCCTGCGATCAGTGCGAACAAATGGCAGAATAAATGTCCACGCGACTGCCCACACATCCTCTTCTTTTTTTCTCTCTCAAACAACGCCATACGCAAGAAGTGAAGTGGAAGCAGAAGGAAACCCGATGTTGTATAGTAAACAAAAGGTATATAAAAGAGGTGGAGAAAACGTGCCTCTGAGCACTTATAATATTTTAAAAAAGCTAATTTCCCAGCGTGGGAGTGATGAAACTTTTTAGGCGTATTTTGTAGAAGGTTTCTGTTTCCTTGTAGAAATAAAGTCAGCTGTTCGAAGCTTGTATTAGCAACAAAATCTTCGGGGACTTGGGTGCAGGTTTCACACGTTTCATTGTCAAATTATCACCAAATTAATAAAAATGTATGCCACAGTTTTCAAGTATCAATATGTTCCATGTCAGATGTATAGCCCCCGACTCCGCCCCCCCCCCAAAAAAAAAATAAACCGGCAAGCGTACTTTCGTTCCGCACAGACGTGTTCTTCGACCAGACTTTTGGTTAGGGAAGAACAAGCTGAGTGCTTCATTTGACAGCAAAGCTCTGGACAGCTTAAGTTCCGTGCATTGTTTACGGCCGTGGGTTGACGTGAAATGTGCAACAGAAAACATGGCCCGCTCCTGGAATCAGCGCATACTTTGACGGGGAATTTCACAATAGACGGTTTTCTGCCGCGCCAAATTGGCGCTGCTACGTTTGAACACGTGATCTAATGGCCTTCTCCTTTTCACTTTCCCTTCATCGTCATCGACGGCCAGCCGATAGTCCGCGCCCACGTAGTCTCCTCCGCCTGTTTCTCACCGTAGGCTTCAGGGCACCGTCCGCCACAAGCCACATCACGGTCGCGCCACCTAGAAGGAGGCCGTGGTGCTTCTGTGCGGTGACACGATCTATTTTTGCTTAGAAAAAGTAGCTGCGGAAATTCGAGTAAAGGTCACGCAGTTGCCGTGTCTGAATATAGTCTAGTGTGATTTGATAGCGTGCGACCGTCAAGGGCCCTAGTGTTGCAGGAGCATAGTGGAACGTTTTGGAACGATGAAAATTCATGATTTTGACATTCTTTTCTCTCTATTTGGCTGTTCCGCCTACAAAAATCACGTTGTGATTAACTGTGTGCTTTTTTGTCTTGATATTGATCTTATCAGTCGTTGCAATCAAACGTTTCATTCGTTGCGTTTTATCACCGCCGGTGAAAACGAAATTTATAGGAAAAATATGGTGACGCTGGCTATTTGTACGTCTTCATTAGAACCTCTCGCTAACCTGCACAAAATATATCACATTGCAATAAAATATGAAAATACACCTTCTTTACACAGAAGGTATTGCAGTTTATGGAACAGCAAAGAGGGGGAATGAACCTTGCTTCATACCTCCCGCTCCCTGAAAGAGGATTCTAGGCAGTGGTGCTCTCGTGGTTCTCAGTCAATGCTCGCACGATAACACTAGCTAAAAACGTGGTGTACAGTACAGCACCGGGATCTCGAGGTGTCTTTTTTCTACATCAACAAGGGCCATTCGCTAAGGCAGTGCTTCCAACCTTATTTTTTTCGCTCCATAGCGCGCCAAGTTTTCAGAACTTTCCTGATTGTTACAGATATTTTGTTCTGTTAGAGCTACACGCAGGACACAACTAGTCATGTTTATTCGGGACATTATGCGAACACCAGCGATTACGCTGAAAGGATGGATCACTGCTGTCTATAAGACGACAGGTTCTACCGGTAATCAGATTATTGCTGGCCGACGACTATGATTGCCGCTAAAAAAAGGCGGAAAGGTAAAAAATTTGGTGTGGAGTGCACGATCACTGTCTCTGGTGTGAGGACACCTGAAGCGATACGCTCACGAGAGAACCGGGACTGAAGAGACAGTGAGAGTGAAGAAAAAAAAGTAAGGTAAAAAACGGGGGGGGGGGGGGGGGGGTTACAACAAGAAGGAAGAAAAACACCCGCGTGATGGAAAAAAAACACGATACAATGTAGCGAGTGACTTATAAAAGTCGGTTGGTCAAGCTGGTGTCCTCAAGAAAGTCGAGTAAGGCCGCAAGGGCAGAGCGGCGATGGTCTTTGTAGCCGGTGAGATGTAGAATGTCCAGTAGGACCGCACATGGAAGTCCGACGAGGTGGTATTTCTTGACGATCCGCTGGCGTGCGTCAGCGAGAGCAGGACACTCACACAAGAGGTGGAACAATGTTTCCACCACGCCACAATCAGTGCAGTTCAGTGAGATCACGCCACGCCGACTATCCGCGCAGACACACACCTAACAGGACCCAGGGGCGACAACCTCGTGGAGAACGTTAATTGGGTTTCTCGGGCGTAAGCGTTGAGACGCAACTTGATCAATACATATAGTCGGGTAGCAAGAGGGCCCTGCTTGGCACCCTGCTACCTCCACCGGTGCCTAAATAAAATTCACTTCTTTCTCTTTTTCCTTCCGTTCTTCTGGCCACACGGAGCCGATCTTCAGGTGGCAGGTGAGCACCGGGCGAATATAAGCTGTCGGGAGAGGGAGTGTCACGGGTGGCCAATGAGGATCGGCGGAGGGCCGTCGCGTGTGCTAGTGTAACGAGAGGAAAAGGCGTTGTCCGGGCGAGTTTGGTCACGCGTCTCCGCGCAGGAAAAAAGACGCACGGGTCGCACCAGCCGAAAGGCCTGGCAGTGAGAACACGGTGGCCATGTTACCCGCGCTCTAGCCTCACGCAGTCAGCACTCGCGTGAGCTGGGAAATGAGATGGCAAAAGTGAGGAGGTACTCATTTGCCACAATCTTTAGAACTATTTAAACGTACAAATTGAATTGTTCTCAAGAGTAAACGCAGTCTACTTCAAAACGCCCGTTGTTCGTCCCGTAACCGATAATTTCATGTGAATGAGGACCCCGATGCGTGTGTATTGTATTAAGATTAAACACACACTACCCATCTTCTACTGTTTTTATTTTACACAGCATAAATGTTTAGTAAAGGGTGATTTCAGTGACTAGCTTTTAAAACTAGATATTGTGCTATCTGGCTTTACTGTTTTTTTTTTGTTCCTTTCCAGGTTGTTCCGTGAACAAGTTGCCTGCACACTCAACTTTGCACGGCGATGCCTGCAAGATGGAATCCCACGCGTCGTAGCTTTGGTAGGCATGGAGGCGGCTGGGGATGACTTCGAAGCGGCTTGCACGGAAGGCAGTCACGAACACGAAAGTAAACCTGCAGTTTACCCTCTAGTGACAAAAATAAAATGTCTAAACTTTTTGTTGTAAGTGAACTCAAGCGTGTTGTGTAATCAACAGGATGTGTTAATTACAAATTGTCCTATAGAGAGAGGGCGAACAATATAGAAAGAAGCTTTACATCATGCGGAATCAGAATAACCTAATTCATGTCAATGTGCGGTGATAATTACACGATATCTGTACGCGAAAGGAGGACCCGTAGTTAACACCTGAAATGAAAACTTCTTTGCACGATGATAATTACTATAACGCACAATAATAACAGCACATATATTTTTATTATTGGAATCGATCAGAATGAATGACATCTTAAACTTTTTATAAACGGAATACAGTAGGCCCGAGAGGAGAGCTCGCGCATGGTGTGCAGCTGGGAACGTTCTCTTGAGATGGACGTCTTTTTATATGTTTGAGTCATTGACCCATTTGTTCTGTTCTCTTCTTGTGGCAAAGAAACTTTTATTCAACATGGCATGTATGAATAATAAAGCACCAATGAACTGCATAAACATCTACTAGTCACAACAAGAATCTGTAAGAGTGGAAACTACAAAGATTGCGTTACTTAAAAACTGTGGAGAAATGTGGGAAACAAATAAAAAAGCACAAAAATGATTGAAAACGAACAACAGAACATACCACGATGATGAAGGTGTGTGTGAGGTTGTTCAACTAAAGTTTGTAAGCCTCTCACCTTCCGATACTTTCCAAGCAAATATTGATGTGTTACAGAATGATAATACCAAAATTTTCAGCACAATTTGTTCTAGTTTGTGGGAATTTCAGGAAAAATAAGAAGTTTTCAGCAAATTTATTATTGAGAGCATTAGTTAGGAATGCCTCTGGAATACAGTAGAATAGTTACTGCAAAAATATTTTGTAATGCATTGAAGATGAAAAGGGAGGAGCTATACTTAACGAGTTTAGTGACAGGCAAAATATTAGAAGCAAGTAAAATAATTTTTGCTACTACTACGTAGCAAAAGCGTTATTAGCCAAATTTATCACTGTTAAATTGGATAAGTCTTTTTTTTTAACGTGTGTTGACAAAATTTGCGGTGGCAACCAAATCCCACCCTCAGTGGCTGAGCGGTGATCAGGTGATTGCTAAAGGAAAGAAAGTGAATTTGTTCAGGCGACTGCTAGTGTTAAGTAAACATTTCAAATTCAGCTTGTTTATTTTTATATCATGCCTATTATTTTATACCAGTTAATATTTTCCCAAGAATACGATTTAGCACACATGACAGTGTTATCAAGCACTTCTTAGACCTAATATATTTGTGTTGACGACGCACATAATGTATCTCCATCCGGAGAAGCAACAAAGTCAATCATTATTATGAATCAGAAAGTGTAGGGGATCTCAGGTTGATCCGGGTAGTGAACCACTCTTTGTTGTGGGTACTTTCAGTCAGTTAAAAAAATTTTTTTTGACTTTGTATCAATCGTCTAAGTTACTGCGCATTATAAGTGGTCGATCGGTTATTGCAACTGCTTCAAATGTGGCGACATATTATGGTTTTATAGGGTCACATTCATGAGAAAATATTATGAATATTTATGCTGTGAACGTACCTTTATGATAAACTTTTAAAGTAATCAATTAAAGGTGAGAGGGTTAGGTGAGGTAATACTCAGAGTGACATCCTAACAGAAAAGAAGAAAAAGTAATAATTTATTTTGTGTACTGTAGACACTATGCGCGTCTATCTATCTATCTATCTATCTATCTATCTATCTATCTATCTATCTATCTATCTATCTATCTATCTATCTATCTATCTATCTATCTATCTATCTATCTATCTATCTATCTATCTATCTATCTATCTATCTATCTATCTATCTATCTATCTATCTATCTATATGTAGCTTCCTACGTCTCAGTGCTCTCACGATCACGCCTTTAACTTGAGGTGAACCAAAATTTGTATGGGATGATAAAATGGTGTGTCGAATATGACTCCTCGTCATGATAGGAAAAATGTAACAATTCTGTCGCCTACGTCGTCAAACTCTCCTCCCTCCCCCCAAAAAAAGGCCAGTCTTGCGTGGAACGCGCAGCACGGTGCCCGCGAAAGCTTGAAGAGCGGGACCAATAACTACGTTGGTAGAACATAAGCTCCATGATTTGTTCACATCAAATAATTCAGGAATTGAAAACCCAATCATAGATATCTCCCTACTCATGGTTTAGGAGGAGGCAGGTTACTATATTTCATGCTTTTTCGTGTAGCAATAAAGCAACTTTCTGCAACTTTTATTTAGCAAGATTTAAAATACTTATCAGTACTTTCATCTTGCTAAGTAAAGTACCTTCTTATGAACCGGTAATACTCACACTTTAACGCTGCTTACATGAGATTGTATAACTGGACTTCATAACAATCGGTGATTATCCTTATACTCGGAGGTATTCAAAAGCAATAAAGAACTTTATTCACCACTGACCCAAATATGTCGGACTGAGCTATGCCAAACTGAACCTCAAGAGTGATACTGCTTGCATTTTGTATCAAAATATATCTTATGCAAAGCAGGTGCGCTGGGTAACGTATGCTGATTGCGTGGTGTGAAAAATGATATGAGTAACTATGTATAGTTATTTTTTACTGATAGAGTGTAAACTTTTGACATAATACAGCGTCCTAGAGAAAATACATGTGTTGTTAGCAGCACTTAACGTTATAAACTGTTTTTATCTTGTTGCGATGAATGGGGTCTGAAATAAAGAAGCCTAAAACACGCGGAAGGCAAATTACTTCTCAGCGTCAGGTAAAATACTTATTTTTATATCTGGAGCCTTTAAATAAAGCATTTTCCTGTTGAATCAAGTTGTAAATTAAAAAAGCACAAACGTAAACAAAATCGCCACTGTCAGCAGAATACAGCGCTGTCAATGCTTTTTTTCTGGTGTATTAAGAGCCTAGCCGGATAGATTGGTGTAAAACACAAATATATGTTTACTGCCCCTCTTTTGTCACATACGTTGTTCTGTGCATCCGCAGTGTTGAGGAACAGCGTTCAGTGCATGAACGCCGTCGGAACCAGGCTGAACCGCTGCTTTGATGGCCTTCGCGATGGCTTGGGAGAAAGCCTTGCTTCCACAGAAGGAATAAGGACCATCCACTACACGTGCTGGTAGGTTGCTTAATGGGGCTCATCCCTCACCTCAAGCGCTTTGTTAGGTTCTTTCTAAGTGACTTGGTTGCTTTGCTAAGGCGCTGTCATGTTCAATACGTTGAGTAATTGGGCATGGTTGCATGACTTTTTATGAGGTTTTGTGTTTTATCAATAAGGAATGAAACAGTAGTGTTGTGGTGGTTTATTTTGTCTGCAATAGGACCATTTTTTTTTCTTCTTTTACATCAAATTATGGCAATGCGTTGGGCCCCGCAATAAAATTGTGTATCAATTAAACCAACTTTGCTTGAGGCAAATGATCATTTTCGTGTCATAGCTTAAAAGGCATAGAACATATTCGTCGGCAATCCTAATCGTCAAACGGCCTTTGCCGAAATAAGTTTACTCAAAAACAGAAACGCATTACGAGCTTTTTTTTACTTCTGCACTCCTCCGTGGTAATTGTAAAGTTCAGTCTAAGTAAATCAGACTCATGTGCGCACTTTTCCACAAATATCTAGGGAATAAAATTAGATTTACGCGTCAACAACATATTATTGTGATGGATTTCCAAACGGTCTGCATACCGTAAGAGCATGTTTATGCTTTTTTGATAGTAGCAATTCACTGCTCGTGGGTTCTCTAATAAGACACGAAGACTTGTCATAAGCCTCTGTGATTCTTTCTTTTGGAAGTGCTTATCTAAGGCATGTTCTATGTATTAGCGAAACAACTAAGAACGGAAGGTTTACTTTTTCTAATAATCTACATAGTAACGAGCGGACGAAGTCTACATTCTAGAGGAATCTGCCTGCTTTGAAGTAAAGCTTTGTTTCAGTAATACAAAAAGAAGTCGCAGCTTTCCCGCAAAGGTGAAGCAATGAACGCGATAGCAACAAATTGGAAGGTCACACGAAGAATGGAAAGCCGATCGAAACGTGCCCCACGTTTCTCACGCACAAATGACGCATGAAACACACTCACAGGTGGAGATGAACACGAATAAGCGTCTCAATTGTTACTTCGCTGTATCTGAAAACCGCGGCCTTTTCGCAAAAGGAGATAATAGCCCGTCCAGCACTTTCTGCCTTCTGCGTCGTGTGACAGCGGGGGAAATTGGTGAAACTGAAGTCTTTTACATCCGTGGCAGTTTACAAAGCAACACTAGCGTCCACTGAGGTCTTTTTCATAGCACGCGGAACTCTTTCTTCTGCTCTTGTTTTCGTCGTCACTCTGGCGAGTTATCCAACAAGCACTTCGTAGCCGTTTGGTTACGCATCCGACTAGCAGAGAGAAATTCGTAGCCATTTTTCTGAATTTTCAATACGCAAACAAACCTAATATTTAGCTCATATCTGTGTTTCGCCCTCGTTAGTTGCACGTGGTTGCACAGCAGAGGGAGTCGCATTTTGCACTCAACAAAATGCTCCGTCAGGTGACACTACATGTCCACAAAACCTAGATCGGGACGTCATATTGCGGCTTTGTGACGTCTGCGCACTCGTGTGTGCAGTTTTTTACTATTGCTGCCCATGTAAAATTTTATGCTTTTTAGAGTAGATGTAGAGGACACCGAATTCTAGTCATGTAAACCATGCGTAGCGACGAGAGATTAGGCTGTAGAACATGAGTTGGGGGTTTCTAAGCTTCGTTTCATCGTGCATGATTGATGCTAAGCTGCAATCACCGCTTCCCTTTGCATCTCGGCGACTCCTGACTTGTGTTTGGTATAACGCAAGTGGAATATTTATGATGTATCTGCCTACGCATTGGGCAACACGCTAATAAAACAGATTTGTCTATAGGAAGCCGGGTAAAGGCAGATGGCTGTTGTAATATTATGAGCGTGTTGCTTCCATGCTGATGATTTTCATGACTGCATACATCTGTGTTAAAGAAGCACATGCTAGTACATGCCGTTGAATTCTTGATCATTATTTCTTGAATATTGGCGTTGTTGTTTGTGGTCTTTTGCTTTTCACCTTCTTGATTTCCACATCCTAATAGAAAAAAACGGCGAGAGAAATGGCACTTGTGGAGGTAATTCATTGAAATAATCTGAAAGCCACTAAGGAGAATATACCGGATTTTGCATAACCTTAATTTGACTGGAAGCTTTGAAGAGCGTTCGAACCGTGAAAAATGTGCATATTTTGGGTTAGCTTCCATTCAGCCTCCATTCCCAAAGACATTCATAAGAAAACTTCTTAACAAGATTTAGCAGGTGTACACACATGCAATGCAAGAAGAAGTAAGCCTCGATGGACTCATAAAAAATAATTGAGCCTCAACAAGCAAGCATTTGAGTCTTTCAATAAATGAACCCCTTGTCTGCCTCATGCAAGCGCTTTTGCCATTGTATGCATATTTAAAAGGCCTGCCGACTTTCGTAGGGCAGCCACTACGCATCTATACACGCACTTTCTTGATGAGGTGTCCGATAATAAATGATGGCACAGCTCTTTGTAATGAGATAGAAGCTTTACGACACCCACTGGTTCGGTAATTCTTATATAGTGTGACACTTGGGGTGTCTCTCAGCTCCATCCAAGCAATTCTGCGTCTGCTAAACACAAATCAGACCTACGCCTTAGAACATGCCAGCGTATGGTATCCGGGCTATAATGCCACCTAGATCGCTAGAGCTAGATTTCTACTAGAACCCTATATTTTAGGGCAACGCTTTAGAAGTTCGTGCTATTTTTTTCAAGGTAAGTATCTTAAGATGCACTTGACCCTTCTCATTATGAGCAATTTATAACGCTACTATACTTTCTTGGCGGTACGTATTATTGCCGTAAGAGCACATTATATACTCGGAATATAATATGTTTTTTATTAATATGTTTTCAGCACGTACAACAAGTTTTTGGATTGCATAGAGCGCTCTGTTGATGGGTGCGAACCAGGCTCCAAGGCAAAAGAATACCTGAATACCATCATGGATCGTATTTATGGACAAATGTTGGGCCTAGTGTGTGGACAATATACCCGTGGTTCAACACACTGCCTGGACTTACCGAAGCTTCCACCGTATATGGGCCCAAAACAGAACCTCATCGATTTGCTCATTGAAATATCCAATGCTTTCAGGAACGTTAACAACTAGAGAGTATGTCCACGTGCATTAAAGTTTTGCTCTAAAATTTGTGCCCCTTGTCTGTGTCTCATTGAATTATTTTATTGTACTTTTTTATTTTTAAGCAATAAATGAGAAGGAGTTCACGTGGACACCCAGTGACACAAACTTTTCTCGATCTTTTTTTTTTGGTCTTTTAGAGTTAACGTAAAACAAACGTTTTCTGCTTAGGAATCCTACTTGTTACTTCTGCATTTTCTAACTAGGTGTGTAGATAACATTTGCGTCCTAAAATTTTGAGAACGTGCGCTGCAGTTAGTTATTTTAGATAAAAATTGAACCACACTGCACGACCGAATCTTTGCACCTTGGATAGTGGGAAGTGTGACAACAACTTCGGTATTCGTAAACAGGCAGCTTATAATAAGTTCTTCTTACCGTTTTAGCTTCAACAAGCAAGTACATCAGTCTTTCATTAAGTCGGCCCTATGTCTGCCTCATGCAAGCACTTCTGCCATTGTTGGTATTTTTCAAAGGCCCGGAGACTTATTCTCCTTATTGGCCTGCAGGCCTGCAGACAAACCCTCTTTATGAAATAAGAAGGATTCACAGATTGATAAATTTATCCGCGGGTTTTTTTTTCTCGGTATCACAACATTACCCTACAGACACGCTCTATATCCGAAGCTTTGCCCTATTCAGCCATCAGCTGTGCAGTCGCAACAGGTCGTTCATATACGGGAACACAAATGCAAATTATATGGAAACTATAATTCCAGTATGTGCTGTCATTTTTGCTGCAAGTCTAGCAAGAATGCTTTATGGCAGGCTAAAACCATGTTTGACAGCGCTAGCGTTACCTCTAGCTCGAAAAGGTGGTAGACACACGCGCTGTGCGCTGCTATTCTTGTATACTGATAAGCTCTTGCTTTTAGTTTGCCTAAGACACAGGGTGGCGAGTATTGCAAGTGAGGCCCGAATGAACACGCTCGTGACATGCGAGCAATTTAACCCGCTTTCCGTGTGGCATCACCATCGCGGTGAGTACGCTAGAGAGAAAAGTTTCATGAATGAACCTCGCGGACAATTTGGTGTTGTCCTTCGTTTGTGTTGCCCCGCCGCTCTTTCAGCTCAATATGATCTTTCAGCCTGAGTACGACTGAAAGTTGCACGCGAACAAACCGTAGCGACGCGTAGCACGCGCTAGAGATAAATGAACCCGCCGTCAGTACGCATGACAAAACGTGTTTATCAAAGCGCGCGCCTCGACCTATGGTTAGAGTTGCGTGATGCAAGCATCCCGGTGCCTGCAGATGATGCAGTGCAACCATATAGTTTTAAGACTTGCCAATATCGCTGCTTCGCATCTGTGTAAGAAAAGAAAGCGTTGATAGAAATAGTAGTGCGTAAATGCGACAGCACATTGGGGTCAGTTTTGTATTGACAAGGGTGAAATGTGGCAAAACTATTCGGCACACGTGCCATCCACCACATGGGATAAATTGCTGCCGCAGGAAGTCCTTACAATGCACGTGCGATCCTCCAACTTGGTGGTCGTCGAAGCGCACCTCTTGTGGTTCGGAGACGCGAGTTTGGACCTTAAATAACGAGGAAAAGCATCTTGTATTCCGAGCGTAATTTCCAATCCCGCACATGCATAATTTGCGCACACTCTGTGAGACATTTAAAGTTCACAAGTCGTAGCTTTTTGCACCATTATTGCGAGGTGTTTCCCTTGCTCAACATAATCTTGTGTTACATGTCGCGCGAATCATCCGGCATTCTTGCCTGGCGAGTTGAGGCTCGCGAGTACTCTTCGTTTTTAAGCGGGTTCTTGCAACACAGAACCTTAGGCAGTCTACTTTTCCATTACGTAAAGCAAAATGAAATTTATCACGCTATGGTTTCCTTAAAATCTCGAACAAATGTCTATATGTTCACCGGACATGAAGTAGACGTGATATAATTGCCAGCCACCTTATTAGAGTGTTTTTTTACATGACTGCACTTCGGAGGAAAGTCTATATTGGGGCTGCGTGTTTATAGTGTGCAGCGGTACCACAAAAAAGAAAGCCCTTAAAAGAAGCCGCAATGCGCACAATTCTGGGCTGTGAGATTGCAATCGTTATCGAAGTGGAATAGTAGTCAATCAATCAATCAATCAATATTTATTTTTGCATAGTATGGTTACATCGTTAAGTATATGCAGAAGTTCAAATACAGGCTTTCTTAAGACATGGTTCGTTGGTACTGTCTGTGATCGCTAATGACCTCTAACCTCTTGGTGAAGTTGACTGATGTCAATTAGTGGTGGACATCAGCTGCTATAACCGCAACAAAGCTTTAATTCAATCTCCGTACAAAGATTGAGTTCCATACCGCTTGTATCAGCAGCGATTCGTCTTCAGAACTTGGATGGCCAGTGTTGGCTCAACTAACGACGCCGTTATCAACGATGGCCGTCGTGGCAGCGTTTTGCTAGACGGGTCCTAAACCAAATTCATACATGCCTGACAGATTGAGTGACCGCCATCATTCACGATTGGTGGGATATAATAACGCACAGTGCTAAGGCATCGATAACACAGCCCGTGTTTGACCGATGCGCGCTCCGTGAACGTTATGACCCCCGTTAGAACTCATTTTAATGAACAGGTTTCGCGAAATAAGTCGTTGTAGTATTTTTCGTAGCGCTAACGTTTTTATACTCTCCATATTCTATTGTACCAGTACCTGCACAAGTAGACAAAGCGAATAAAGGCAGCAGTTTCTCCTACCAGGTTGAGGTGGTCATTTTCGCGCGAGTCTACGCTGCAAACACGTTTTAGCCTTTTAGAGAGTTTTTGGATTGTGTTCCAGCGTGCATCCAAAAGGTAATAAGTGAAACGCCCTTTAAAATGAGATTTTCACTAACACCCTTGTTTGTGGTGTTTTTGTAGGGTCTCTGGGGAGTTTTGTTTTACTAGTTTGGACACCAGCACTGCGAAGTGACTCTTGGTGGTTTTGTAAAGTTTATGGTGAGTTCCTTTTTCCTTTTTTGAACAACACGCTGAAGCGAGAGCCGTCCATTTTGAATCTTTTTAGCGGTCAGCCAGCTTTATTACACTCATTCGTTGACAAATATGGCTGGTATTTCATTTATAATTCATTAGTGAAGCTTCGCTAATTGTTGATATCTATATTAGGTGGTATTTAACGTCCAAAAACCACCACATGATTATGAGAGACACAGTAGTGAAGGGCTCCGGAAATTTCGACCACCTGGGGTTCTTTAACGTGCACTGCAATTTGAGCATACGGGCCTACAACAATTCTGCCTCCATCGGAAATGCAGGTGCCGCAGCCGTGATCCAATCCCGCGACTTGCGGGTCAGCAGCCGAGTACCTTAGCCTCTAGACCACCACTTCTGGGCTTCGCTAATTGTTTATTGCCGATAAAAATAGCTTTGTTTTTGAGATACATAGCCGGTTTGTGTTTGTAGAAGGATTAACAAGGTTTGTTTACGAAGTAAATGGTATCAAACTAGGGCATTTAAGAGGTAATAGTGTTTTTATTTAACTCAACTCGGGGGCTTGATTGGAGCACAGCGGATGTTTTTCTGCTTCTTTGAGAGCCTTAAAAACACTCTTTTAGACGCAGCCGAGAACAAAAAGTATTTCAGGCGCGAAATTATTGTTTCGAAGACATTTATTGCTATTGTTCATTGCACGGACATATAGAAAGATAATATAAAATAATGATAATAATGTTTATTTTTCATCAATATTTTGATGAAGGACAGCTGCAGGTAAAAGCTGCTCTCCAAAAGAGGCAGCTTGACAAAGACCCACAGCTACCTTTTAGCACGACAGCAGTGGCAAACAATCAGCAATGTGAAGTCAACAAAAATAACAAAAACATCAAATAAATAAATAAATAAATAAATAAATAATAAAGATATAAAAATCAAGTTCAAATTTCAAAAATAAAAATAGCAACCATGATAATACAGCAACTGCAAAGAAATCTTAAAAACTAAACATGTGTATATCCCGCAATTGAATCTGTGTGCAATGTGAAAATTCTATGCCAGCTTTCACATATTTATTAAGTAACGTAGGAGCTATGTAGGATAACTTATCTGTGGAGTAGTTTGTTCTCGAAGTTTTTATTTGCCATGTTTCTTTATTTCGTGTTTCAAACAATGTAAGATTTGGCGGCAGTTTTGAGAGGTCATACAAAAAATGTCGACTTTTTTTCAATTCACGCCTGATTGCCAATGTTAACTTAAAAGTGTAGAGACGATGTACGGGTAGTATTCCAGCATGCTGAAACAATTCGCTCGTGTGAGCATCATACGGCAAGTTGAAAATGATTATAATATACTTCTTTTGCATCAGGTACAGTTTTTGCAAGTTCGTGTAAGTTGTAGTCCCCACGCATTCACGCACATCCTCGCATTTACGCACAAAGATGACATTTGCATACAATTTCTCACAGGACAGGAATCAAACTTGGGACCACACGCACTGAATGTAAACACGATAACCACTACACCGCAGTGCCACCACTACCTTGCCTGGTTTATCACGGGAATTTATATGTACAAAGCGGCTACTAAAGCGTCGGCGACACTTCAAACTTTTGTTCTCATAGCAGCGGCATGTGTCAGCAATCGTACAATGCCACTGCATAAACTGAAGGGTGTCATGCAGGCCGTGGTGACCACCTTCGACTTCGAACTATTCGACCCATCGTGTCATGCCGCTAGACAAATGGTAAACGTTTGCCCACTTCAGCACTTCTCCATACATCGACAGTGCTTCAATCGCCCGAAATTCGTAGATACTAGCTTGACAATAGGTATCTTCAGATGGCCGAACATATATTATTTCCATGCGCGTATGCTCTGGAGCTATTTTCGGCATTTCTGCCTCGACCTGCACGCGTCCCATGGCAGCAGCGTGTTCTGAGATGTTTGAGCCTGCCTACGTTTGGATATTAGATATATGTCTGAGACTGCCGCCACACTGAATCCTCAGAGACGAGGACGAAACACTGAGGGACACATCTTTTATCATTTCAAGACTTTG